CGTTAAATTACTGGACAAAATTAACGAACATGGATGACCATAGGATACCTAAAAGTAGATACTTGAAGAATTACCGAAAAAATGGGACAGAGAAACACCGAGACTCGAAAAGGAACTGGTTCGCTGAAATAAAGAAAGGCAAACTGGATAACCGTGGATATGGAATTAATAACTCAGCAACAGCAGCCGAATTAAGCCAAGTGCTCAGTAACAAGTACTAGAGAAACTCTTCCGCAAAGACAATTTACCCATATATGTATCAAAAATACAACAAAAATAGCAAAAGCCAACTACCTAAATACCAAATTGCCACTAGTGATTACCACGAAATTAAATGACGCTAGCAAGAAGATAGGAACGGACAATAGTAAGGCCAGGAAATTGGATAACTTACAAAACAAATGCTATATGCAACAGACAGGAGCTAGAAAACAGAGAATGACATATTGACGGATTGCCCGTAATAGAATCAGTTCAGAACACGATTCGTGATCAACTATGATCGAGCATGCCATAATAATATATGTAATAATGACAACAATGATAATAATGAAAATAATATAATAAATATCATTGTTTACAATCACTGATAGAACCCGTACTTACGATAAATCTGAAATACTCTGAAAATCATTGCGGCGAATTGTGTGTTTCTAGAAGCAAGTTTCTTAAAACTAAAAATAATCACGTTGGAAGAAGTCCTGCAAAAGACAATTTGTATTTTTATAAGAAATCGCGATCATGGGTTGAGAATCCAGCCGCCATTGAAATCACATTGAAAAAACATTGAAAACATAGGTGTATGTATGTACGAAGCTGTCGAACCGCACAGAATGCGATTGCAACTACGTGTAATGTATCGTTTGTCTGCATCGAACATAAGATAGGTGGATTAACTAAGGGAATTTGTTGCTCGTTGCTATTTCTTTTTTCGCTATGTATGTATATGCACGTACATGTATCCCCGTTCATAAATATTAGAATACCTAATGACTTCGTATAAAACACGATAATTCAATTAGTCAATTATGGTAGTCAAGGAAATGATTAATAGATCAGTATTGTGTATTCGTGAAAGATAAGGAATCAAACGTTACATAATAAGACATTGCGTGCTACAAAACATATGAGAAAGTTATAAAATTATTTGGAAATGTTCGACATTTCGATATACGACGAATTACCATATCGCTTATCGACGCAGATAGTGGCACGAAAAAAAAAGAAAATTAATTTTTGTTTTTATTCGTAATAAATTCTATCGCGTGAAACGGTATACATCTCTATCTGAATTTGTCACGCCAGAATTAAGTAAATTTAGACAAAGTAAAAAGAATAGCCCGAAGAGTAAAAATAAAGAGCAAAAATAAAGAGTAAAAAAAAGAGTAAAAATAGAGTCACGTTATAACAGCATCGAATAGAAATAACAAGGTCTTACGAAACTATCGTACAAAATATCGTACAATACGTAAATACATCGTATTATGAAAACGTAATACGTTACGTATGTGCGTAACGCGTATACAACATGGTACAAACTGATGAACGTAAGTTACAAACAATTTTTATTTTCCAAGTTGTGTGATAGGTCGCTAATGTCAAGAAGCGATATGTTGGTCTCGATGAATCACCGATTGAACAAATTTAAGACGATCAAGTAGATAATTCAGGGAAGTTTGTCAAAGTCTAAATCCGGTTTATGGAATTACCGATAACGCGTACAACTAAATAACAACAAATAACAATGATAAACGGAATAATAATATAAATATTGGAATCGATTAAAGTTTAGGTAACGATAGAAGAAATGCATGCGTGGCATGCATGGCATGCATGGATGGGGAAAAAATAGTTTTCTAATAATTCTTTGGATTTACCTTATTATCCGTAAATGTCTTAATATGTACATAGGTATATATAATTACGAACGGAGGTGTACGTATTTACATATTACTTTAGCTTTTATGCTGATAACGACAAAGCTGTAAAAACTTTGAAAAAAGATGCCCTTCTTCCCTGTGGAAAACACATTTATCAAACAGGGAAAAAGAGGATTCTTCGTTGCGATACGTACTACGGTATATCTTCGAATCTCCATTAAGGAAGAAGAAAACGATTGTATTTGCTTGCTATAACTTCTTTTCCCGCGCGATAAGAGAAAACTACCCGTTTTTCTACCGTTGCCTCGAAACACATTCATTTCTCTTTCTTTTCGTAATACAATTTCTGGTTGCTCTTCCAAATGCAAGAGGGAATCCGAGCATCGACATCGGAATCGCAATCGGAATTTCGGTTATCCGCCGAATGCGGCGCAATTCATATCGCATCTCGTCCAGATCGGTATGATTCTCGAGCTAGAGCTCGAACGTCGAATCGAGCAGATCTAATCTAACGTATTCGTGTTCTCCGGATGTTGTGCTATGTACCAGTTAAATAGTAATTCCTTAATTCCCGCTTAATTGCCAACGAGACTACGCAGTCTCGTGGCGAGGCATTATTTTCTTACCAACGAGACTAGACCGCGGTGCGTAAGCTTTGGCTTCATCGACGACTTGTTCTGCCCAGCGTTTACTTGTTGGTGACTTCTGCTCGTTGTTTGCTGCTCCCTCGCGTTCTGCTTTTTCTTCAGTGACTCCTGCTTGGCACCTCTGTGCATGTGAACGCAGCAGAAGCTGTTTATTAACGCGACAGGCCGGAAAATATAACGTTCGTCATAGCTTGCCCGGAAAACGCTACTATCGTTAAAGAAACAAACATCTATGGCCGTGATTATACAGAGAGCGACGAGCGATAAGCGGCAAAAAATCATACACAAGCGGCTACGTCCTACTCATTTCCGTAATCTTTACGATTATCCTGCCATAAAATCGGCCTACACTGCGGTTCAGCTGTTAAAGGTTCGATATCAAGATAGTCGTTGGCATCCGTCGTTAGTTACTACGTGTTTGTTTGTCGCTCGGGTATCTACTACAATAACAATTAACATAATAAAGGAATGACGCTCATTCGTTATATCGCCTATTTCCTATACATGTGAAAGTTAATAACGATTTGGCAACGATTTCAGCGATACGAATTGGCAGTGATATCATATCATGGCAGAGTATCGTCAAGTACTCGGCGAAACTTTTCCATTATATTTCAAAGATTATACCGACTATACCTGGATAAAAAATCCATTCACGGATACTCTCGCCGAAACTCTAACGACGAGGAAGAATCTTTAACAGAGCTGTCTTGCGAACGAGGCTCAAAAATCGAATTCACAACGTTTCGGCCAGCTGAATTTTAGCCAAAGGCAAGAAGGAGCGGTTCTCAGCAAGTTTTTACTTGCATTTTCTACCACTTACTCGCGCGAAAGCGAATATTCTATCATGGTGCCGATAAAGAATCAATTCCGAACTAAAATAATCATCGAGCCGAATCTAAAGCTGCGAGCTTAAAACTATGTTGTGTCGAACCCTTGTCGATCCATTATATCGGTCGCTTCTTTCAAACTTGCACTTTGCGTCATTTACCACATTCATTAGCAGGTATTTAAAAAAATTTTTTTAAATTTTTCCAATACTTTTTCTAATACTTTTTACGCGTCATAAATCAGTTAAATTCGTAGCATGTTCTAACATTGCTGAAGCGTAGCATACGCGTGCCGCGCACTATAACATTTATCTTAATTTTAATCGATGGTACGTAACTCTATTCGTATAGATACCTATACGAGTGGTACGCGAGAAATAAAGTCTGAGAATTCCTGCTATAGATTTATATAGGCCACATACAGCAGCTTATCGTTTACTCCTTATTGCTTACTGCTTACCGCTTGCTTATCGCTCTTTTGTATAATCGTGGCTTGAAAGGACGAAGGAAGGAATAAGGAAGGCGTAGAACAAGACGTAGAACAAGGCGTAGTAGAAGAAGGAGAGCGAGTTAGAATAAAGTGTAAGCGAAAAACTTACAGATATCGAGTGAGATCTTCGACGTCGACGAGCATCGAATCTTGTTCCATGTGTAAGTCGTCTCTTCTCAAAAGTCCTTCGACCAGAGCCTCGTTCAGAGCAGCGATTCTTGCGTGCAAATCGTTCGCGACTACTTGAAGTTGCGCGACATTTAGCTCCGTTAAAAGTACTCGAGACAATCTGCGCCTATCCTCACCCAGCTGAACGCCAACCTAGGGATAATAACGAACAGACCTTTTTATTCTTTTTGACGCAAAATATTATATTCCAGTTATTCGAACACGTTTTTCTTTCGATGTTTCATAGCCGTAAAAATAACGACAGATAGATCTAATTGTTTTCCACACTTTGTTCTTCGTATGTTAGCATCTTTTTGGAAACACAAGTTGGAGAACACCTCTGTTTGTCCCATAGCAAGTTTTATAATATAGTTTTAGTTTTGGTTGCTATCACGGGATAATTAATGCATCGATTAATGCTTAATTTCATGATATTATTAGATTCCAGGATATAGATCGAAGAATCTGATAGTTTTAATATTAACGTACTCAACTCGTATTCAACTAGAATACGATACGGAGTTCCTTGGAGTGAGAAAAAAATAGGAGAGATTAAGAGGCAGACTTTACTGGAGGATGGTTAGGTCGGGGTGTCTCTGGTCTTTGTCTTGTTCAGAAGTTGTACCAGTTATGTCCAGCTCGAGACCATCCGTTCTTAAACAATGGCCGTAAAAGCGAGCCTGATTGAGTAGCGATTCGACATAGCACAACATACGGTTGCCAGATTGAAAGAAAGGCCAGAGTACAACGATACGAACGTTAATCTTTCTTCAGCTCTCTAACGATCATTTTCGATCCAATAACCACAAATATCTCGGAAGCTAAGAAGAGTCCGATATTTTCGTGAGAGGAAAGAGTCGTTGAAGATATCATAGAAATTATGACACATTTAAAAATCATGGAAATCATCGAGGCAACCGCAAATCGACGAGCTCACTGTAAATCTAATCTATAATTTGATCAATATCCTTTGTTTGATCAAAGACTTTTCGAATTAAAGATATTTTTCTTGAAACTAGGAAACTCGCGGAAAGGACAGCACGATTAGATGGAAAAAGCTTGAACCATATTTAGCGATGTGAAATTATTTGATATATATATGATAAAACTCACTTTTTCGAGGCTAGATCGCACCATCTCGGTGATGGGACTTTGTTTTAGCCTTTGCCTCTCCACTTCCATCTGCATATGCGCCATTTCTTTGGCCTGTGCCAAGGCCATCCGTGCCTCGGTTTGCAATCTGGCCTGTCTGGCGAAGAAGTCGGCTTCGTCGATCGGTGCTGAATTCAAACCGCTATCCAGTCTCAAAGGTGGAAGGCTCAGCACTTGAGGTCTGACTGGCATTTGTTGTTTCTGTTGTTGCTTCGAGTTCAGTGGGCTCGGCGTGGATCCAGGGGATGCATCGTTCTCTGAACACGGAGACTCCGTGTCCGAGGGTGTTTCGTTCATGAAGCAGATCTGTAGATTCATCCCTGAAGAAAGCAATTGATTTTCTAAATGTAAAATGTTGTAATTCTAAAATGAAATTGTACACGCTCATCTACCTCTGTATATAGGATAGATTATCTTCGAAGATATTAATTTGTCTTTATTTTACCTAATTTTGTACTTTTGAGTTTTTGTTTTCCAATCAAGATGCTACACGAACCATGTTTTGCTGGAAATTGAGTTGATTTTATAATTTCTTACTTGGACTTGTTTTCAACCGAAGTAGTATGTAACGCAAGAACATCTTACGTAGATTGCTATTATAATTATCTACGAAGAGATTAATTGGCTTTTATTTTACTCATCTTTTCGCAACGTCGATCTTTTATTTTATAACAAAGATAAATAATAGCGAGGGAAAATCACTCTATATCATACCTTCTCTCGGGCTCAAGTATAGCAATTTCAATGATACAACGAATCTACTACGTATTATGTAATTGATAAATTTTGTAAGAAGAAACAATATTCTTGATAGAAATACAGTCGAACATATTTCAGTTGATACTAATTACTACTAATTATTTTTCTTAATTCTACTAGAAACTGCTCTCACAATTATTTCGAAACAGTAAGATATTTGTAAGATTTGTCTAAAGCGTGGAATTTAGCCTTCCAAACTTATCTTGCGTTTCCATTATTTCCATATTAATCAATAAAATGAAAAGTACAAGCAAGATATACATATAAATACATATATCTCTGCTTAAGCTCGCCTTATTATTTATTTCTCAATAAACAAAATCTCTATGTTATATTGCATAACAATGCACAACCAATTACCATTCGTTCGAGGTGGTGTAGCATTTTCAAACAAAGGATCTCCATGCCTTGAAAAATTATTTACTTCTATAAATAAACGTAATTTTATTCTAACTTGAATCTTTCACATATCGTCAGAGTCCGCACTCCACGCCACGCACGCGATACATATGCATAATAAAGTTGAAAACCAAACATTAAACCAATAATCATATACCATTGCAGTTATTCGATCGATAATGTCACTATAACTATAAAATTGATCTATGGGTATAAATCGATGCTTTTCCACGAAAGATGCGACTAACGAGATACGCTTCTTGCAAAATGTTCAAGTGATACGGACCGCTTTGAAGCCGCGACTGGAGACTCGGTTTTCTTCCGCGTTCAGTGCGCAAGTCTTCAGCGTCTGGACCCATTGCCAATCTCCTTCGTATCTCTTCGCGATCATTTCGCCGCTGTGAACAAACAGAGAAATCTAAAATGTAAACACGAGGGTGGTAGAAGACCGTCTTCGTGCTTTAATTCTTCCTAATTGCTTTCTTCGAAACTGTGCCTATGCGTGACAGTGAAGTTATTACCGACATTGACGGTATTTAGCTTCTCTAACGTATACTGTAAATTAGACATTAGACATTATACTACGTATAATATGTCATTAATTGGAAAGGAAAAGGGATGTTGTCGATAGATTATCCGTTTATTGTACTTTTCTTTATGATTTTTACACGGTGACGAGTGGGAAGGATAGAGTAATTGGTGTTTGCCAATCGAAACGAAATGGATCAATAGTAGAACTATAATATCTATTAGAAGCGATGTTTATAATTACTTTACGTGATAAGGAACAGCAAACGTCTCTCAAAGCATTTATTATTACGTAAATTATATTACGTACATTACACGTAAATTCGAGTAAAGAATAATTTTTGAAAATAAACCATGTAGTAAATAAAAATGTTCAAAATTAGTACGAATGAATGTATTCTCAAATTTAGAATGTATTCACAAATATTAATATCTAACTATATATAATAAATAATCGTGATTACTAATAGGAAATATAGGAATAGCGAATCTTTACTATTGAAAAATATCATTTCTCTTCAAATTTTCATCGAATTTCTATTCTTATTATAAATGGTGCCATTGGAATTCGACTTTTTCCCTATTACTATGAGTCAATTAGAATTACAAATCCACCATGGTTAGATATTATTCTAATGAATCATCTAATATGCCGTAATATGTCATTACAAAATTTCTACACTTGATATAAATATGTATATTAAACCGAATCGTAGACAAGAAATTGAAAGTAAACCATGATGATTCTGCACCGTAACGGAATTTAAGAACCAACCGTTTCCCTTTAGTAAAATTTCGCAACTAGTAGGAAAAACTATTTAGAAAGGAAGCATTCTTTAGAATAGAAGGTCACCGGAAGTCACACCTGAAAAGTTTCATCCGGTTCTCCCCGCACTACTCTATCGAATCGCATAACGAGATCTTCCCTTTCAACATCTTTTGTTTCGTCGGGCTTCTGTAACAATAAAGTCGTTCCTTCCGACTTTGGCTGTTCCTTGTCGGTCTCTTTATCGTCATCCTGATGTCCCAGAAACGAAAGTCAATTCAATGTAACGATCGATACGTTTGATTACCACCGATAAAAATGATCAGAATGATATTCAGTCGTGCGAATGGCGACAGAGATTCGCGCGCAAAGCAAAAGGATAGTGACGAGTAATAAGTGATAATGCAATGCTCGATGTATTCAGCAACACTCAACTTTCTTTCCTCCTTTTCCTTTAGCGCTTTGTACTTTTGTATTTGTATGAAATTACACGACGACTAATAACTCGTATGTAATAACATCTCGGTGTCGTTTTTAACTACTTTCCAAATGCTTCGATTTCAATTTTATCTTAATTTTATCGCAAATACATATATAAATAAAAAAAATATTTAGAAATGTATGAAATCTACTTCAGAGAAATAGATTTGATTTGATTTGAAATAGATTGAAATAGAAAAGAAATCTACTTCAGAGAAGAGTGTAATTTCATGAAATCAGAAATTTTTCATTTTTATTCTTTAGGTGGATAAAATACTTTATGATTCGGTAGAAAATTTAGGTACTATAATTTCGTATCGTCTAGCCTCTTTAAATTTTAAGCCGTTTATTTCATTAGAAGAGTATTAATGCAGCATATAGAATTTTTCAGCCGATATCGACACCTTCATTTACTTGTCTATTATTATTTGTAGCGAAAATATTTCAGGTAAGAGATAAAGAGCTTCGGGGGAGTTGGGTATATTTTTCTATTCGTATTATTGGCCTTTTTGTATACCCTATTGGATTATAGTAGTACGATATAGTAGATTATAGTAATACATGGACATGTAAAGGTCAAGTTTGTTTTCTAAATGGAATCATATTATCATATATATGGCAGCAATAATACATTAACCTACTCACGTGGGAAAACTATTTATCAGTTTAGTGGATATTTTAATTTTTATTTTGTAAAAGATATCGCATGAAACACATATGCCATTTGTATTTATTTTCCTCTAAGATGTCGGTATCACAGAGACATCCTGTATAAATAACTGAAACGATATTTATATATATTATACATATATATATATATGTTACTACGAACTGTAGTCCTTTTCAACAATGATATATCTACCATGACAGGTTTTAGCGTTTCGCCCTTTTTTTCGATGAAAAGTTTGAGATTACCAAAAGACGAATAGATCAGTATCCATATTCTTTCCGTTTCTCCTAGTTTTAAGCCTATCTATGCTTTGTGGTTTCCTAATAATAACAATAAGAATGATTTGCTTTTTACTTCCACTGTATAGTAGAGAAACTGCACTAAGAGGCTGTCTGCCAATAGGACATGAAATCATTTCCGAAAACTTTTTCACAATTTCTTTCAACTTTCTCAATTATATTCCTAGTTATATTTAATACTTAATAATTAACACGTGGTCGGCCCATTTCTTCGATAATTGCCAACAAGTGCGGCCATCAAAATCTTTGCGTGTCGTATTTACAAGATATGCGAATGTATTCTTATGTTTATAAAAATACTTTTAAAAACTTTTAAAAAATGCACGCAACACATGCAAATCAAATAGTATTTCTAGAGACAAAATAAACTGTCAAAGCCTCGTTTCGCTTATTTATCTTTTTATACAAATATCATGCGTTTGCATAAATGTCCGCAGCTTATCGACCACCTACTTATTCGTTACTTATCGGTATTCATATTTTTACTTTCTACCTAGTTGTTATATCGCTATTATACATTCACTATTCTACGATCCTAACATTAATATTATAATATTATTTTATAAAACATTATTTTTAAGCACATTAAGCCGCAAAACAGAGATACGTACGTGTATATACATACGTGTTTAATCTATCGCCATTCTTTCGGCTGATAACTGATAATGTATTGGAGGCTATGTATGTATATCTTACGAGATCGAAGTCATCGTATGTAAATGTGTATAGATCCGTGACGAATCGGGAGTCCTTTTTATAATGTTTTCTTGTCTTGTTGCTACTACCCATGTTTTCAAGATTTTGCCCTAGTTGTTCTTTCACGTTTTAAGCTTTTCCGTCAAGCTTTTTCCTTGTCAACTGTTTATCTCCACAAGAACACCATACGCATTTTTCCTTCACTCTGTTTACACAGTCTCATCTCCGCGTGTCATTACGAAAGGAGTTCAATAGGCGAATTGGAAAACCATTAACATTAATGGAAGGAGAAGAAGCCGATAGATTTGACAGACCCGTTGATATTTCTTCGTCCAGCATGTCTATAATAGGTGCTACGTGTACATGCGCTCGCGCGCAACAATAAATTCTTCCTCTTGCTCGTATGCCGGAGAGTAATAGCTCGAGAGTAATAGATAAATGGCTTCATCGAATGATTTCTTATTCGTTGTATGCGCACGCAAGGCACGAGAATAAAAATCCAATTTTCTTGTGTTATCTATCGGTTACTTTCTTTTCATTCATTCATATGTCAGAGACTAATTTTCCGTCGACATTGTTCTCAAATTATTCATAGTCATTCTCATTTCTAGCAAGGATTAGCTTCGTCTTGGCTCTACTTAAAAAATGAAAGTCTAACAATAAGGTAACGTTATAGAGTTAATGAAAGGTAGTAACTATGGACATTGAAAGCGGATGAAGAATGCTTAATCGACAATGAATTTAAAATCAATTTTCTCGGAGTACGATGTAATTTCCTCTGAATATGATTTGCAAGTGATTGGTGTAGGTCTGGTGAATTACATTAAACGTAGAAGAAGAAACGGATCTAAAAGTCTTTCTATTGTCCTCTCTATATTCAAACATGTTGAAAAAAATATTGAAATATCGTACAAGAATACTATTTACTATTTAGTATCGATATCAATAACAAATCTGCCTTTCTAATCTTCTAATGTACATATATAATGTAGGATTCATCTGTACTAATGTAGGATCACTGTACGAAGAGATGTAAATATGTTTAAGATATCAATTTTAAAATCTAAAATCTTAAAGCTACACGCCATCTACTAATAAAATAAACAGAAAAGATCTTTTCTTTTTTCTTTAAGAAGAATTTGATGATATTTTGCGATTCAATTTGCAATTCGATCGATATCCTCGCTCGTTTCCAACAGTTGGGCTTTCCTTCTATCGATGTCACAAACGACTATAACGCGTTTGTTCACCTCGGCAGACACTGTGGCGCGTGCTGTCCATTATATATAATAAAAGGCAGACGAACAACGTCACAAGACGCTATTAGATACGAGACCGTGTTTATGATGCAAATGAAACGTAAGTATAATTTAATTACACGCGCCTTTCGATTTATGACGATTCGATCTATATTGTAGCATCTAGAGATGACGTAAACTGCTACTTGTGAATCAAGAGTGATTCGATCACGTTCGTTACCGATCACGTTCGTTACCGATCATGCTGGTTCTTCACAGTGATTTGCGATTTTTCGTAATCGCTTCTGATTGGTGAACAGCATAACTATTCTTTGCAAGCATCACATAACCCGTATGTTTTGTATCAACGATATTTGTATCAAGAATTTTGAAACCGAAAGGATAAATTTAGAATTTTAAGATACTGACATAGGATAGAAAAAAAGGCAAAGAAAAAAATGAATAATTCCTCGTTTTGAATATTAAATAAAGTAAATCTATGATAGACGAAGGAAACGCAACGTAATTTTAAATTAACGTTATACGTAGATATTTTTGTACAAGCTATATCGAAGTATTTTATAAGAAATGATCACAGACAATCAAGATGAAGAATTACGATCACAGTGAGCAAATTCACTCGAGATAACAGAAACACGTTCATAGTTATGAATAAAGCTAGATCAGACCATAATCGTGATTCTGCAATCACCGTAATAAATCATAAATCATCAAATGTCAGTGATTTTGCACGCCATCTCTAGTAACATCGCCAAGCTATTTTCCTCGCGAATACTGATATTCAACATAACCTTCAAAAAGTATACGATCTATATGATTTTCGGGATTCTTTGATCAGAATGTACAACGAATCACGATGAAATCAATTTTTCGCTAATAGTTACACAGCATTACTACAGTAAACCAAATTGTCGAAGAAGATCACGAGGACACTGTTATTCAAACTTCGTCGCATTTATCACGTCAAGAATATCAATTTCTCCTTTGACCGTCATAAAGTAAGCCGCAGCGTCAACGAAACATCGTTCCGCGAGTAACGGATGCGGAAGAAGATCGAACTGCCGACGATTCGAGTGAAAATAAACTTTATACACTGTTTGCCGATGTTAGACGCATTTAAAGTTTAGTAAATTTCACATAGTTTGGCAAATGGCTGTTCGATCAACCAACGAAGCTTTTATCTCGAGTCACGATTCACTGTCGTTCATTGTCGTTCATAGAGACAAGATATTTTTTCTAGCTTTTTACTCGTGATAAAACAGATCGGAAACATGGAAAGATACTGGAGTTTTTACGACGTGACTGGACTCGCGCGAGACGAGAACAACTCGGGACTGGCATAAAATGAGTCAAGTGAGCGGCGAACCGATCTTCCGGTAACGTTTACTCGAAGGAGGTGGTAAAGCCGATGGTGCCATTAACCGTCTACGGAGGCTGAACTAGCTTTTCACAGTGTTCGGTGAAAGTGGTTAGCTTATTTGATGCGTGAGTGTTCCTGTTTATTCACGTTTACAACAAGGAAACATTTAGTTTATACGGTTTATTCTTGATCAATTATACGGTTTAAAGTTCGGCAAGTAGTTTCGACTTTTCACGGGAAACAGGAGAGAGAGAGAGAGAGAGAACTATCAGTTATACGCCGTAAGACAAAATAGCTCGAAATAAGCAATTTAATTCGTCTGATACGACGAATGATTAATGCAAATAGTTGGCTGTTTGAATATTATTCGAAAAAATCAGCTATTCGGTATAATAGTTGAAATTTAATTTAAGAATGATTTTACCGCTAATGTATAGTATTTTCTATTAGCTATTGTATTACTTATTGGATATTATTATTTAATTATTCCCCGATATATTTCTTTTGATTGATATTGATTGATTTAAAAAATTATAAATGGCAATAGTAATTTAGGAAGTGAATTACTGCTTATTCTATACCGTTATTCTATTCATATTTAATAAATAGACATAGAGTATCGATCAAGCAAAGAGTTTATTTACTAACGATTTCAATTACTTTAGAGAATAATGATTCAACATTTCTCTCGAATGCCTTAAATTATTATGCTTTTATAAGTATTTCATAGGTATTGCTTGTCCTTGTTAGTTCTATAATCGCACTTGCTTTTCTAAAATCGCAGTGTTATTTGTAAAACGTTTGGTATTTCGAAACAAATCTTTTGATTATCACTGCTAAAGATGGTATATGTACCTTCACAAATTGTACGCAAAATGTTTCGCTTGACTGCTCACGCTCGAGTACTCTTTTCACCTACGTGAAACCAAAGGTGAAAAGGATACGTGATCCGAAGATGTTAGAGAGTTAGTTGCACCTCATCAAAACTGGTTTATGGGTAGTACGAAATCTCTTTCGATGCATTAGTTTATGATAGATCAGTCGTAATTATTTTTTTACGCATAAATTTGTAATATCTATACGAATGTAACGGCGAAATATTCTTTAACGTCAATAAACACACGATGCTTCATTTCTTTGAAAACATTTACCGACACATATAGGAATTCAAGTACTGGTTTAAACAAAATTTTTATTATTAAACAAAATATCGTGCAATCCTCAATTGAAACATAAAATTAACTTACTTTGACACGTAATTATGTAAAAATACTATTTCTCAAATTGCTCCGTGTACATAAATTTTTAATTTCACTAAAGAAACATTTTAATGATTTTATCCGATTTTCTATATTTTCAATCTTATTTTCAAACTAACGCAAGTATTCTCCGCCACTAACACATCGATTTGTTTGATTTTATACATAAAAGAAAAATAAAATATCGAAAAGTAATATGTGCATTTATACATGCACATACGAGCGATAAATTCTTTTGAAAAATGTGTTTATCGTCTCGATTATTTATTTTCTCTCGTAATTTATTACGCATCGTTAAGGCTACTCGAACGTTTTACGTGCTAAATAGTGTTACACTCTATCTGACATGACGGTTGCATTGATCCTCTTCATGGCGACATCCGTTTCCTGCTCCCCCATTTCCATACAATGGACATTGCGCCGCGCCGGCGAATATAGATCGTCTGTGCATTTAACGAGATTCGCTATCGGGACCCTGAAACGAGGTCCCAAGCCTCATCGACCTCGTTTTCCGCGTCAATGGTCAAAAAATTACTAGCGCGAAACCCCTCGTCCGGAATTACACGGATTTTCTTTTCTCTCTTGCAAGCAGCCGATCGAGTGCCTACGCGCAAGTGAAACATTCTCTTTCACGGATTCGTTTCCTTCGCTAACTGTTTCACCGATAAAGTAGGTTAAACGGGATTTCCCAATTGTCATTTAAACTCGACATAATTCTTCTTGTTCCCAAACAAAAAGAAAAGCTAAGGAGAAAACCTGTGTGTCTTTTCCATTTCTGAGAAATAATTAGGTTAATTAATGTTCGAAGAAAGTTTCTCGACTAGTTAAACAAACTTTTGCGTTTTCTATTTCTTTGATTTTCAAGTAGAAACATTATGGTTTCAATTAACGAAGATATTCCACAATTGAGAATATACTGGCGACTTTCCAGTTTTTCGCTAAACCAGTAGTTGCAACAATTTTTATATCGCATATCGCGCCTAAACTGAGATCGATATCTATCTTTGTGTACGCCTATCGCATCCTTTACAGTTTTATTTACAGCGGTCGACATTTATAATTACGAGTATATCTCGGCCTTTGACGATTCAATATCGTCGCGTGAACGTTCATTGAATGTTACCGTATTATCATCTGTCTGTGAGAACATTGGCTAGCCGAATTTACCTTCCCGTACAAAAATTACGCGATCGTAATTAACGTAATTAACAGTTGCACGCTTACGTTCGACGTTTCGTTACTTTCTATCATTACCCCTTCTACTACAATTTATTATTCGAGAAATACAACCGTTAACATACCTCGTTTCTCTTGAATCGGCCTTGTAACCAAAACGTTGCTACGCACGACACCAATGCAATTAGACATATGTAAAAAGGTGTTTACTCACTCGTCGTTCTTCTTCGCGTGCAGCTCTCAGGTGAGATTCGATCGCATCCAGATCGATCTTTGGCATCGCTGTCTCGATATTGTAGACGTCGAAGCCACCTTACATGGAGAGAAGATCGCATGAGATATCGTTACAATCTTAATTATGTAATGTTAAGTTATTGCAAGTCGAGTCACGTAGAAAATAAAGATTTTTACTTTATTATCTTCTTCGTCAACCATCATAATTATTTCATTTCTGGGTTTACTATTATGGTCGTAGCCTTTTTACATTTGTCACCGAAATATTATGTGTATAATATGATATATAGTATACGTATACATAAAACATACATATAATGCATTATAGATAAGCGATCGTTTGAACGAAAATGAACAAATGTACACAAGCTGAATTAAGAAAAGAGCAAATTGACATTTTTATTACTTTCTTTTTCTAATAATTTTTGTTTTATAAATCTTATTTTATTACTATCTGACACTACGATACACACACCACATGACACTACGATAAAATTTCCATAGGATAAGCGTAAAATCTTTCTTCCATGATAATTTGCTCGATAAATGGTTAGTAATCCGATGTATTAGTAAATGTTATTTGTTCTTAATACGCGATTTTCACTTAATAGAAAAGATATTTGTTACCATCGTAACGCTATCGATTTACTAACAGAAATGTTGATAAATAATCTCCTCCGTTTCATTTGATATACGTATTTTCCTTTGTTCATCGATAAAGAAGAACTTGGATAAAGAAAGAAATATGCATATTTGATATTTACTTGAATAATTCCTCTTTTTCTTCGATTACTGGAAATTGAAAATTAGCCAAAGGAGCAACACACAAGCTATTACGTATTGCAATTATAAAGGATATCTGCGTAAGGATTGCTGAATTTGACAAAATTTGTCAAATATAGTCCTAGACTATAGATATAATATAATGTGTAAAATTATACGTTATAATGTGAAACACGATGTAAAAAATGTTTTGAACATACTCCCCTTAAAAGAACTACATCTATAAAAATATAATCGTAAAATACGTGTAGAGAGAAACACGATACTTGGATAAAAAGCTAAAATATTCAATCTTCACCACTTAATGCAGCAGAAATCTTATCTATGTAGACATTATCACATATAACGTATACATTATTATATGTATTATATATATAATAATAAGTTATAATAACGTTACAATAAGTATACCTGGTCCATTGTCCGCATCAGCTCTTCTCTTGTCCGGACGTTTCTGTGGGTTCGCCGCTCTTAACTGTTGCAACTGTTGCTGTTGCTGTTGCTGCTGTTGTCTGCGTTTCGCTTGATTCCTCACCATTTTTTCTTTCTTCTTGGTATCCGCGCCCGATGCTTCCGGAAGATCACGGTCCAATAGCTTGTTCGTATCTTGCATGTCGTCTTTCGTCATATTGCTCGTGGGAACAGAGGATCGCGTGGACGAGTGAATAGGATCCAGTGCCTCCATAGCGACCACGTCTGGTACCGGTTGCACGTACTTCTCGAGATCGACCCCGATATCACGGCCGATGCTCGAGAGCAGATCAATCTCCTCGAGCTTCGTGTAGGTGGGCTGCTCCTCCGGATAACTGTCAGTGTCGGTATTGCTCTCCGAGTCGTCGTCGGCGGAGCCGCTCGACGTGGCCGTCTGACGGTTGCCTATTTTGGAACGGGCCTGGTGAGGCAACTCCTTTGCCTCGCGTATCAGGTCGATGTGCTCCACCACGATATCCTCTGTCTGAAAAGACAATGCTCGTTAGCCGCTTCCTTTTGCTTCACGGACAATGGCATTGGATGCATCGGACGTTTTTCATTCGATTTTTACCGAGTACCTTTGGTATTTATCGTAAACGCGATTCGAGTTAAATTTTCATTTTCTCTTTTATTCAACGCTATGCATCGTACGAAGAATATTATATACATATAGCATGTATAGTATGTATATGCGCTAGTAGTACACTAGTAATATGTACACTGTTATACACGTATCGTGTTATACGCTTGAAAAGAGTACTCTTTAAAATCCGCACTGCATGTGACTTGAATTTGAATTAGCACGTACTCTTACAATGGGCGTGTACGTGTGCGACTCAGAGACAGATGCGGGACACGATTCTTTGGTTTCTGAAAAATTGAGTATCGCATAATGCAATACGATATAACGCAGCACAATTTTATTAAGAAATTCGTAAAAAGTAGAATCAATTAGTTTGACTTTGGATTACGAGTGGCCCGATTCGTTTAAAGCGCTTTATTTATTAAAATTTACATAAATTTTAGTTATGTAGAACTGTTTTGTTTTCTTCTAACAAAATATTAGAGTTCTGCTACGTATATCTGTTACAATATTATGTTTATACGTTATGATACAGTTGGTAAAAATTTTTGTAGTTTTTATTTCAGAATTTACCCACGGTCAACAGCGAATATATTAAATTATTGGAAAACGTAAATATCAATTTAATTCGTGAATATCAATTGGTTGAATATTTGTTGGAAAGTGGTATTGAATAGCATTTTAGTGGTCTATGCAATAGATATTTGCCGCAATATTAGCCAATATTCTATCTGTAATATAACCCCAATCAGTTTGATTAATTGTCATTGGTGCATAATGGTTAAATAGTCATGATTTCGCTTCATCTATGATATTTATCATGATATTTTATATTCTAATATCGCAAGATCTTTCATTTAGATAGTTCCCATATGGCTTAGAATCTATCGTTTAGAATAGAAAATATATTCACGTTACGATGGAGTGGTTTGCGAATGTGTGAAACAATGCAATTGAAATGGCTTCAGAAAATTACAACAAACTGTCGCAAACAATTATATAACACGAAGATAATATCACGATAGAGATATAGATGACATAAAATAATATACCTCATAAAATAATACATATAAAATAATATATAAAGTATAAAATAATACGATATCGAAACATGCTCATGATAAAACGAGTTTTTCAACAATTTTTCAAATTTTCCCTATCGTACGAATAATTGTTCTTTCTTCAAATAACAATCTGTATAACAGTGGATTTTCATTCCGAGTTTATTTTACAACTTGTTCTACGTTCTACAGCACGATATAGTCGCGAAATTCATCGCCTCTTAGAATATTACTAACGCTTTAACATGATTTCGTGAAATTAGCCTGATTAGTCCTAAAGTTTGCGGAAATTTCTGATTAACGTAGTGGTGTAACTATAATACATACATGTCGCCAGTCGATGCCGACTGACGCTGTTTTAAAACCAGGAATGTAGTGTGAACTCTGTTGAATACATTGATGTGTTCTGCACGCGTGTGTGTTCAGTGCGCAGTGCTGCGCAGTTATTAGTCTCGCACATACACGGACAGAAGCGTGACACAGACGGTATAAAGCGAATTCTCGTTAATCTTGATTGTTCGTGCTTCGTCGCAACAGAAATCGTTCGTATTACAGTGATCGCTCTGTAGTATCACTGCCGCTTTGGAAAATTCCGACAATTAAGCACTTTTCTTAATCTCTAGCGTTGCGAGATTCAATGTGCACTTGTAATATAAACATATAATCGTAACGTAATGTCCGAAATGACATACGATTTACGAGAAGCTGGCAGATGTTAAACGACCAAAGTTAACATTTTTTCCTAAGAGATATGGCTCCATTACGCGGTGTGTTATCGAATTATAAATTGATTTTAACTTATACAGATGAGCGTTTATCATACGTTTAATACAGAAACAATGTTAGTTTATTAGTTAGTTACAACAATGTTAGTTACAACACACATGTATTTATATGTATATCTGTATTTACGGGTCACATAAATTCTTCGAAAAAGTTACTTCGAACTTGCTTCAATAAATCAATAAACTTATTCGATATGAAAGTTTGTACATGGATGATAGAAAGCTGGAAACCCACCTCACCGACCTCGCTAGTCTTCCCCGAGTCTGGTATTTCCTCGATCTCCGGAAATTGGAGGATCTCCTTGACGCTAGTCGTCAGTTCGACGATCTCGACCTCGACCGGAATCTCCCGTTCTTGATTCTTTTCCAACACTGCCTCCGACAATTCCGTAACGTCCTCTGCGACTGTGTTAGCAAGCGCCTCCTCCGGTTCTAACACCGTCAAATGCGTCTCCGCTTCAACCACGCTGTTCACGATATCCGATTTCGGCGTGAGGATCTTTTCTTCCGTTCTAGAGTCTTCAACGCTTTTCACGTAGTTTATACATTTCTCCGATGGCGGCACCACCGACTCGTACAAAGATGTTACAGTCTGGAAACAGAGTCGATGCGTGTTTAACCCTTCAGTAACAAGTCGACCAACTACTTGCATATAGTCATTATATAATCGGATCGTATATCGTACAGACCACAGACGGTTAGTATAATACATTTGAACGGATCCTAATGCATCCCATATGATTACGATGATACATGGAAAGGAAATAAAATACGATGTAAATTGATAAGATAATATACATACGTATTAGCCGAATTGGTGAAGGAAAACTGATAAAATTGTAACAATGTCATTTTTCAGGAAATGACGCGAAGCAATTTCATTTATGCATATCTCTGATTAAATAACGAGGAAAGTGTTTGGCGTTGTTGGAAAGAAAGCAATCGTTGGTATATTTCAGTCACTGTTAAGTCTTAGTCAAGTATTAGTCGCAAAGGAATGTCGTTGAACGCCATTGACACATTCACATTGTTACTGACTTAACGTTATGACTTTTCGTAGCTGTGCAGTTAAACTTACAGTTAACTTACAGTTAACTTACAGTTTAAGAAAGAAAAATTTAATCTGCAGAGAAACTATAAACAAGCTCAGAATTGGAAACGAAGGGAATTGGAATATAATTAAGAATTCCTCTGTTGAACGTATTTTGGACCAGTCTGAAACAAAGGCGGCGTTTAAATGAAAGCTGTAGCTAAATTTGAAACGCGTGAATTTGCTTAATCAATATTAGCTGTGACTCTGGTTTCCAACTTTAAGTTTCTTATTCCGTTTAACTAAGCTTACTTGGTTGTTTCTCGATACATTATTCGTAGCTTTGTCTAGCCTCTATTTCAAAAATGTTCATTTTATTAATCATCTATCCAAAGAAATATTTTTGTAAAATATACCTTTCTGATTAAATAAGCTCGTTCCTAATTAAGAATTTTCGCGTCTGTCTATCAAAAACACGAATTACAGCATCGTTTAATAACCGAAACATTCCCACATGTTAAAATTGTTTATAAGTGAAATATATATATATATATATATATTTATTCATTTATTTATTTATTTATCTCTTTTGAAAAAAGTGTCTCAAAATTTCGCAAGTGCTGAAAAATATTTGAACACTTACAATTAGTTGTCTTTGACAGAATATAGTTTAATTACGATATTATGTACGAAAGGATCTGAAATTATTTCATTCTATATTATTGTTACTATAGCTATGTATAATAGAATGATCAAATTGACTTGTAAAAACTAATATGCAATAATAAAATTAGCCAATTGTCCAAGCTCATATCCAGCTTGTTGTTTGGAAAGTTCGTTGTTTTCAGGTCTAAATTATAAATGGAACAACAAGATTCCAATTTCGAGTAATAGTACGTGAAACTGACGGATACATCGACAAATCGCGTATTTAATTTTAATATAACGCCGCCAGTCAAATATTTTGATAAATAATGTAATAAGGATGCAATATATGCTGTTCCTATTCGTGAATTTGCCATTCATTCCTATATTTTACAATTTATATATTATCTTGTATGCGTATTGTAGCTTCGTTGGCATTTTTCAAAAGGGTACAACTTATATTTGAAACTTAACTACGATTTTGATAATCGTACTTTTAAGTACAAGAATAGCCCAACAGACTTTGATCGTTTTCTTTTATAAAACACAGAAACAAGTTTTCAATTCTTTTCTATGAACATGTATGTAATAGTTACTACAAAAGGTTGTTGCACGTACCCTTATCTTTCAACGAGACGTTTTTTATATGAACGTTTTTAGTATATGTCAAGTTGTACAAAATTTAATACACTTGAAACTATCTAGTTAGCGTGTATGTAAATGTTAGGATAAATAAGATAAATAAGATTCCACTTTGGACTTTTTGAAAAACAACCAAGTTATGGTAAATTTTATAAATCGATGTTGACTAGATCGACCAATCGAACCTAATCCATGCCTACAGTATTCGATCATTGTCCTTTATTTTGAAAATTACATTTTGCCAAGTATTGTATAAATATCAAATAATAATAAAAATAAAGATAATAATTGGAAGTAATTTCACGATGTGCACCATAAAAAAAAAGAAAAAAAAAAAGAAAAATATCGCTCGCTACATTTCATCCTCCTTTGTTCACCTTTACTTACAGTCCTTTAAGCCCTTTAATCAGCTTCTTCGATGAGTCTTCATTTCCTAAACAACGAACAATCAAAATCCGTAAACATGTTATTTACCTGTATATTAAACTTAGGTTTCTCGTAAAAAATCTTCCTCTCATTCCTTTGACCGCACAAATGATTGATGCTGTCTTCAACGTTGTTGTTGTACTCGTTGTCGTTCTCAGCTGGTCTGGTGTCGATGTCGTTCAACCTTGTATAATCGGGACAGCTCTCGTGTTCATCCTCTGTCAGATCTGTGTCCGATAGAAGAGAAGGCGCCAGGTGTTGAAAGCCAGGATAGTTAGGGTTGACGATACCGCGACAACCTGAAGGCAAATTTCCCTCCTCGGACCAGTCAGACCACTCGGACGGTGTCAACTCGTGGGACGAGTCTTCGTGAGAGGAGTTACGCCCTGCGGAATTTCATGCTCGTCGCACATTGCCGGAATACTGAATAATCGTAGCGTGCCACTGACTGACTCATCACAGCTGCACCAGACGCCCCTCACCGGGGATTTCATTGAATCGTTTTATTAAATCACACGTGTTGATCTTAAACATTCTCACATGGTTCGAATCGCTGCTCTGGCAATTGCAGATATACATATAATGGCTGTTTGTAAACTCTTATACTATTACTAGTATTCCCTACTATTGCACTATAGTAATTAATCAATACTAATTAATTAGTAAATTAGCCGAAAGTGCTGGAAATGCGATTAGTGAATTGGCAATGTAAATGTAAGGAAGATGTAGATGTCAAGATGTCAAAAAGCTTCTTCCTCTTCATTCCTTTCTTGTTTATGTTAGCTAATTACATACATACGTGTGTGTGTGTGTGCGCGCGCGCGCGCGCGTGTGTGTAGAATAAAAGTTCAACTAGAAAATTGAATATTTAATATGGATGTTACATGATCTTAAGGTATTAAGATAAAGAATTTGGAGACTTGGAGAAATATTAAGAAATGCGATAATCTGCTGAATTTAAGATATAAAGGATTACTGTTAAACTAAAATATTCCTAAATATTTAACATGTATATCGTCGCCGCAACTCTTAACTGGTTTCCAACTTCATCCTATTTCTAATACTATTTTCAAAAAGATGTAATTAGTCAATCTACATATGTCTGTCATATCTCGCTGGTATAGACAATAAAGAATACAAGTTGATGATAATACGATCAGAATTCCACTTTATCAATATCATGTAACAGTCACTCATTAATTAACATTCCAACTTATTTGAATACTTCTATTTTGAAAAGACTGGTCTCGACTTATATCGATGGTAAAATCACATAATTTTCTAGCTTTTCCGTATATTAAATCATTGTTCTTTGGATGATTCTCGAGATTCGACGATGAATTGTTCCTCGTATTTTATAAAAACAGTTCATTATTAATCTCTTCCCATAAATTTCTACCATAACCAGCATTTTCGACAGAAACCTAGTCTTCAGTCACAAAGCATTCAGCCAGGATGACGATCGCAGAAACTGAATGAAATTCATCGCAATCTCTTTTTTCGGAATCATAAAAAAATCTGCATTTTCACAGCGCTCATAGTCATCTTCCAATAGAATCTTTTACCTAAATCGTCTTTGCTACTCAAATTTCTTCCATTAAATCAAGTCCATTGTGTATCTGTAGAATAATACGACATTAAAGTTTTGCAAGGAAGATGACAGAACGCAATGGATCAACGAGTTATGTACTTGTCATTCTGCAAGGTACATCGTCCGCGTGTCAAAAACATTCCGTTCGTCTTCTACTTTGATCGAACTATGTAAACTACACAAACCATTTATAAAATTTTTCTTATTTCAAAAAAACAATGATTACCTTCGTAGTCGGCCAAACTCTCCACGGAACTGTTTCTACAGATTCTCGGAACTGTCAGGTTGTTGTTCAAGTTGCTGGTTTCGTTGTTCGAGCTATTGGTTTGCACGTTTTCGCGGGTGATGGCAAACGAGGACCACGTGGTCGTGTCTTCGGCGACGCGAAAATCCTGCGCAACTTCCACAACGAATTCGGTGTTGATTTGGTGGCTCCTGGCGACCGTATCTACGGTCGTCGACGAAGTTCCGTTACGATTTCCGATCTCATCGACGATCGGCTGGCTCTGGTCGCTCCTACGTAACTGACTGCGAGTGAGACAGAGAAATAAGTCCAAATGGATCGATACGTTCCGTTAGCCGTGGCCCGTACGATCTATAACGATGCAAATATAGAGGCAGCACACCCATGTAAGATGTCTGCAAGGTGGCACGAGCTACACTCTGCTATTTCATATCGCTCTAATTTTGCGAATAATCAAATTTGCGATTACGAGCAACTAATTCAGCTTTATCGCGCAATACTTTATTTACTGACTCTCTTGGACCTCGACGCGCGATTATCGTTGCTTTTTCTTCGAACGCGTTTTGTATTTTAATTACATTATAATTAGAATAATTAAAATATTTTTGGTAAAACTTGATAAAAGCTTACACATCACGAAACGATCAATCGATATTATTTTACGAAACAACAGAATAATTGTTATCGCTTGACGTAAGCGGTGGCCGGCTTAAAAGAACTAACGTGCGCGCTCCCGCCTGTGTATATGTATTGCAAAATAAACAAAAGATAAATGCTAGATTTGAGTTGGATTTAAACAGGATACATATCAGTAGGTAGTGGTATTGACAGATTTATGCGAATATCGTGAAAATAAAGCGGGATCACCGGTTATACGTTTAACAGGAAAAAATTGTTCAAGTTTTCAACGTGTTTTGACGTGTCGAAAAATCATTGAAATCAGAGATGAAGTAACTTTTTTGCAGTTTCATTTATATGTGTGTATATTGTACATATATATACAGCGTCCCGTTTGGAAGTACGCGCGCAATTATTTGCCAAACTGTATCTAGTTTAAAAAATGGTTTAAAATAAAACTTACTGTTAACTAACTGTTGCTTTTTATCATTAAATATCATATATACCTTAAACGGATATTGATTAAAATTTACTGAATTTTTATTTTCTCACTTTGTTTAAAAAATTGCGCGAATTACTTATTCTCAAAGCATACGAAAAAACTGTTTATACTTCCTGTAAATGGCATATATAGTGTATTTTCACTTCCTTTTGATATTTCATTTTCTTCGTCCCACTACTTTTTCTTTCTTTCTTTTATGTTATCGACACCGCTGTCAATTTCCCTATATAGACAAGTCAACAAATTTTGTTCAAAAATCAATCAAATATTAATTCTCAATTCTATTTCAACTTACTTTCATAATAATGTCAGAAATTAACCAGCAACATTCATCTTTCTTCCCTCTTTTATTAAGAGGAACAGATTTCTATGAAAGAGATTAATTCATTGATTGGAGAAAGTATGTACAAATATGTATCCGCAATACCAGTGCAAAAGGACGAATTTTTTCTCTCAGATCAAACAGTAGGTGGTCGTTAAATTGAGTTTCGAACGTTAGGCAACGCAGAAGGGCATCGGTCAAGCTAGTTTTCGTCGAATCTTTGAATCAACCGAGGAAAGTGATTAGTGCGTTACTGTGCAATTTCATTGCCATGGGATCGTAAAGACAGAGATAGATGTCTGCGATGGTTCGACCATTCGTCGTTAGAACACGAATAGACTATTTTCTGTCCGGTCTCTCATAATCTCGTGCACACGGCGGCCACGTTTTCGAATATTAAAAAGGATAACGTAACTCTATCTAATAAAGGCAACACACCATACTAAAGAAAAGAAAATTACTATTAATTTTGCGTAATCGCTTGCTAAGGATATGTACGATCCTTACGTCTAAGGATATTTACTGGAGAGAATTATAAAAATCATTGAACGACCAAAAAAAACTTTGTATTCGCTAACAAGGCACGTGTAACTGTAAAACTGTTTCTCCAAAAACTCGTGTCTTGGGGCGGAAGAGGGGGGGGGGGCGATAGGTTACAAAACACATGCGGCACAATCATTTATTGTGGTCTGTATGTATAGTATATGCGTGTGAGTGCGCGTGCGCGTGCCTGTATGTGTATATGTGTTTGATGCATTTGGAAAAGGTTGAAATATTTATAAATGACAACATCGATAAATTAGAATCTAAACGAGGTACATAATTACTTTAATCTCGTTCTACTTTCTCATCGACATCGTAAGAAGCACGAATATTTGGAATGCGTGAATAAAATGGAGATAACAAGAGAGAAATAATAAGAATGAATACAAACGAGTATATGTATATTATATGTATACGGTAAACTCTATGAAAAGGGAACCGTTTAGAGTCAACACTAACCTTATGGTTTTTCCTTTTCAGTTAAATGCCTTGGCATTGCTAATAATAAGGCACGGAATAAATATTCTACGATTTAGACTAGTTAAGTAACATTTAAAGCTACTCGTTGCTAGATCAGTGAAAGCTACGCCGTTAAGCTGTGAGCTAATTACTAATTCTACAAAGAATTATCAGCTACTCTACATAACGATAATAAATAAAGAAAAGGGATGCAGTATTAAGTGAAACGTGATTAATCGATATTGAAATAAATATATATATTGAAATATATATATTGAAATAATTGCACTCAAGTTCATGACGATGCTATTCACGTGAATCTCTTAATGTTTCACTTTACCCTCGTAATAATATTCATCGAAGAACAAAAATGCAAAATAATTAATTTCATGGGAATTATCACAGCGATGATTAAACGATGCTAAATGACAATTTCAAATTAAGCGCAACAACATTAAAAATGTTGACGCAACAAAATTAAAACCAGCCCGAAACGTAATAACGAACACCCTCTAAATTTTTCACTTACAACAAAGTTCGTATCTTTGATCGAACAAATAAAAATATAGTCAACCTAGAAATCGATAAAAAAGATAACAAGATACAAATTTCGATCTAGTTAGCGGGGAAAGATGGCAAAGAAGCCTTATTATTCGTTTAGAAATTTCCAATTAGAACGACTGAAAGAAAACTTTTTGTCGTACGAAATACTGTCTCTGTTCACGGAAACCTTTAAACCACTGTTTAACCTTTTTCGTGAAAAAGCTCGTTTCGAACGAAAGCGACCACGGCGCAACAACGATCACGATCACGATCACGATTACAATGAGGATCACAATGACGACCACGGTGATGAAACGAAATTGTGCGATTACGGAACGGTGAAGACGGATCACGAACATCGACTAACCCGGTTTTGACTCAACGAATTTGCAGTTGCACTTACTTGTTGTTCAGTCCTCCAGGATGCAGCGGTATCGAGACGACAGCCTCCTTGAGCCGCATATCGAATCCTCGTCTGAAAACACAGTTCCAAGAGAGACTGGTTGGTTAATCAGGTGGATTGAAAGGATTCTTTCTGCTTTTGCACGATAAAACACGATAAAACACGATAAAGCACACACACACACGCACGCGTGCACGCACGCACGCACATGGTCGCGATATCCATCAATCCCACGAAATCATTTCATTTCACTGTCGGAGCGAAAGAAGAAAAACGCTGGATCGAACCTATTGTAAAATGACCGATAACTCTTCTCTTTCCTCTCTACCAGTCCGAGGGTTCTAAGGAAAGGAGGAATGGGACTTACCGACCGCCATGTTGAAGTCGTGCGCAAGGGTGCTCGCGTTTCCCGTGGTTTATCGACTCGCAACCAACACCCTCGTTTGCTCTCCTTTCACTCTCCTACCACTCTCGTCGCTATTCTACCTTGTCTCTTTTTCGCCCACTATATCCCTACCTTCTTCCTCCTGCTCCGTCTTTCTCTCCCTCTTTCTATCTCTCTCTCCCTCCCTCTCTCCCTCATCATTCTCCGTCAATCTCTCTCTCTCTCTCTCTCTCTCTCTCCCCCCCCTTTCCTCACTCCCTTTCTCTTTCTCTTTCTGTGCTTTCTCGACTAGTTAAAAGTTGCTGTTTTTTCCAAAGTTTTACTAGTATCGCAGAAATTTACATTACACGAGGATATCCTTTATATTTGGTTAGGTTGTACTTTCGAAAGGAATATTTTTGAAAGGTTTGGCAGGCATAGTGGGAAACGTTTAATCGATCGTTGCTTCCATCACGCTTTCGGCTCGAGAGATGCATTTGCTCGGGTTTCTCCGAGAACCTGATTTCAATCGCATGGTTTTAAAATATGGTGTTTAAAAGCGAATGATTTTGGTACAATTAAAAAGATCGTTTTAGTGCAGATAGCGAATATCACGTTGTCTGTTTGAGTGAAAATATTTGTCATATGTTAATTTCTTTGATATTTTGACAAGTACGCGTTTTTAAATGTCACTGAAATTGTTCTTTTATCAAATAAACTTTGTTTTTAACAAAGTATTATTTTCCTGACCTTTTGGTTTTGCACAAGTTCCCAGTCTTTAGTTACACAGAAAGTTATTTGATTTAAGCGTTACATATTTCATTTAGTACTCTATGATTAAAATCTTTTTGTTGGAATTTTATCTTGGAATACTTTATGTATACGGAATGCTTGCAATGTACACTATTTCATTAATTCTACAATATATTCTGTAATATATTCTGTAATATATTCTGCAACATATTTTTATTGTATCATTTCAATGTTAAACTTGCCTACAAGATACACGAAAATATTTTAATTCTTTATCTGTTGCCTTTTTTTTTATATTTTCAACAAGTTTATGAATGAAACGTAAGAAAATCCGATATCCTTGAGTTTACATTTACGGACTATGTACATGTATACATATGTATTTCTAAATATCGCGATAGAAACAATTTTCATAATTTTTCTAAAACGTCTTCTCCTTATTAGCAATAAATATCGAATATCTCAGTTGAAGTAGCAGTAAAATAAACAGAAAGAGCAGAATTATAGCATAAACTTTTATTTCAATTATTTTCTATTTCTTTTATTTTATCTTAAAGACCTTTAATACTTTTACATCGATAGAAGACTTGAAGACATCGTTACATACGAATGAATACATATAAACAACATAAATAAATAAAAGATTTACATATTTTCAAAAGCAAGATTTACATAAATAAATCTTGCTTTTCTACGATACTCCACGATCTCGTCAATGTATACCAAGCAATTTTGCTTTCTGCAGTGTTTATCGTTTGTAAAAGGCCTGTAACCAACCTTTGTATGCAAGTATGTATGGGTTTTACTAGCCTTGTATTTTATCTCTGTTATTCCACGCCTACTTATTTCTTATGGCTTCTGTTTTCTCATCCGTTTACCTCAATTCTCAAAGCACTTCAAACAATTCACAGAGAATTTCTTGACCTGTCCTTACTCGAATCTCGTGCAAAGTAGCCTATCCTGTAATTAAAGCGATTCATATCTATTTCAGCTATGTCTATATATTTTTCTTTATGATAACGACGTATTTTCTCAAGGGAGAAAACGCAAGGTACTAGATAGAAAATAGGAATCTCACCGAATACTAATCACAGTACTAGTAATTTTACTAGTTTTCCATTAATAATAATTGAAAGATAACTAACAGACATCTAGCAATTACTTACTAAGACTTAAATTTTTGGAAATGTCAACGAATTTAATTAAAAGGAAGAAAGTAAAAATAAAAATCATTCAGCGTACTAATAATAGTACGTAATTCTGCTAATTTGATAATAATAATAGTAAAATACGCCAATTAAATATTAAGGAAAAGATTTTCGAAAACCATTGAGAGTTTCATTACAATATCTATTACGATAATTACCAATTTACTCATTTTTTAGAAGATTACAGTATACAATCAGTACAAGGTAGAATGAACATGCGTCGTCTGGTCGAATAAAATCTATTATCAATAGGTTAGTTAACGTTTAAGCGAAAATAAAAAGAGATATTGCCTTCGGTTTTCTTAATTGGAACGAAATTGACAAACTGAGCTTTATAAAACTTTGCCTTAGAATTAGTGTAAATTTGCGAAAAACGCAATTAGTATAAATTTTTTTACATTTTCTCTAGCATACTGTATTTTATAATTCAAATAATCTATATTACATAGTGTAATAGTGTAACAATTATTCGTTTTACGTAAGGCTCGGATGTTCGTTGGATAATGAGAAGAAAAGAGGGTCCACGATGAAAGAGAATGAGAGCCGCATATTGCATATGCACTCTGAACTACGAACCACCGGACTATTTTTCCGAGAAAAAGAAGATTCGTATACCTTCCTCTCTCCTCTCTACTAACCCTATCTCGTTTTCTACTGCAAGCCCTTTAACTTTTAACTGTCTCCGCTTGGGTTGCGTGCTATACATTATGTACATCGTAGATACAGGAACGCATCGATCGACCGTGTCCTTTCTACCCTTCCCGGTAGTGAGTTTCGCTTAAGGCCACGTGCTGCAATCGTGGCATGGATATTAGAGAAGTGTTCGCTCAACAGCTGGAATGATTGGATAAGCACGTGAAAAAGGCGGCGCAAGACAAACCGCAAGTTTTTTCAATGAGAATGAAACAATTTGTCTGCCTATAATATAACAAGCTTTCTTCGTTTGAATAATTGACGAGGATTTTGAATATAAGCAAGCCCTTCGTATACTATGGAACCATTTAGACGTTGTTCCACTGATAGCAGGAGGAGGGAGGTGGATAAACGGGTTGGATTGATGGTGAAATATACAGGGATGATAAAAATTGTTATTTCATCCGCGTTAGATTATTTGTAGCCTAATGAACCGAATGGTGTGTAAAGTTAGTTGGTTAAACAAGGATTGTAAAAATTGTCGTTCCTTCTATTTATTTCAACATCGTTTGTGAGCAGCAAAATTAGTGTTTAGAAATGGATTTGAAGCAAGCACCAAAAATAATAATTGTCTAGTTTCTACATTTTTATGAAAATAGTTGTTAGGAAAAGAGTTGATTTTTGTTTAAATGGAAACTGTTGATCATTAAATCTTGAAGAGATTTATCAAAAAATTGATCGATTAAAAAATATCAATTTTTAAGCGTTTCAATTACGAATACTATACTAAATGAACAAAACCTTTTTATTTCCCATTAATTTATTCACATACGTAGAATCGCCACCTTACCGACTAAGCCATAATTATCGAGATAATTCAAAAAATAAAAGAATATATAGCTACTCCTTTAATATTGCAAAGTATACAAGATTTAACATATTATATATATATATATATATATATATAATAAATAAATAAATAAATAAATATATATATATATATATTTTCATAACATTGAGTATCTGATACAATATAATGTTTATAATATGTTTTTTGAAATATTTTTCTCAAAAATCAGACACTTTAATGCGGTAAGGATGATGTTACTCGCTCCAAGTTTCACACTATAATACATATGTGATACCAGACTTTGCGGTACCATCGTATCATATAACACACGACACACTTCTGGCTATAACCAGAAGTCACAGATTCTATTCTTTTGTTGAATCACCTCGGAGATTCATAACGATTTCATTTAAATATCAATACTTGCATCTATACTATATCGTATATGTAGGAGCATGTGATGTGGCAAAGCGAGAGAGGAGAGGCCTTACGAAATCGGAATTTACGTAATCGGACGTTCGGCCAAAGAGCCGAGAACACTCATCGCCAACATACCATCTTGACTTTCCATTGTTATTGTTCCTATTTATTGGGCTTGGAGAACTCTACACCTACTTTACAACATTCAGCTGTCATACATTGACATTGGCCATTGAATGATTAAACTTACAAGTACATCTTTTGTTTCTTTCTACGATAGTTTCATTATCCGATTAATAATTTCCCACTGACGGTTTGCACCGTAGTGCAAACTCTTTTTCTCAACTTCTTTTCTAGATGACTCATCTATCCTCATTTGTCTTCTTCGTTAGTCAATTTCTTTTTTTCTCGTCACTACCTCGTGTAGTCGTGTAGATGTCTTTATCCCGGACGAGCCCGTATATATACGTAGAATGGGGTTTTGGAAGAGAAACCAGAGATACTGTCTTTCAAGCTTAGGTAGAATAATTTATAAATTAAAAAAAAAAAAGAAAAAAATTATTAGACCGAAAGTAGGGCAATACAAGTGTTATCCTCGCGTGTCATAACTATATGTATAACCGTCTTCGCTTCTTTTCATCAATTGTGCGCCGTTTTTTCTTTGCTTCTCACATATCCAGGCATGCACATACATACACACATCGTTCTGGTTTACATGCATTCATATTCATACATTGCACCATATTCTTATACGTATGTAAACTGTACGTACGTCAAGCAATTGCAAAAAACATATTCGAATATTTAGAATTTAATTTTTCCAAATTACATACTATGTACATTATCTTGCTGAAAAGTGAAACTAGCAAAATTGTAATGCTCCCTTTGTAGAAATCTTTGCTTTTGTGGCTGTATTCACAAAAGTAACTAATAATTATCAAAATTATCTGTAATTTTAACAAAAATGTTCAAGTCCCTTAAATTATCTATTGCAATAAGTAAACTGTTAAACCAAAATAAAAATTCTACACGGGCACTAATTATAAATATCCACGAGAAAAAGACATTGGTACTTACTTTCTGTAACCGTGAATATTATTCAATTAATTACTGATATGATAAATATTCTCTATATAGTAGAATAAACTACAAACAAATTCGATATTTTCCACGTAAGCGTGAGTTCATTTAATCATCTTAACTTAAAAACATAAACATTAACTACCCATCTCGCAATCCAACGATTCCTAAACACTTGTAATCTAAAATTATCTCACATAATCTAAATTATCTCTTGTTACCGCTTCTACATATCGTATCTTGTATTTCGTTAAATCGGGCATGCAACAAACCACTCACTCGTCTCTCGTACGTTGCATAGTTCCCAACCGACAAAATCCTTTCGTAAAATCCACCTTTTAGAAATCCCACCAAGCTCCTTTCCCAAACAGTAGCACGAAAACGCGTCTTTCAGCGTCCTTGCGTCACGCGACTCGCCTTTCCTCCATATTGTCACGTACGATTCTGTGTGGACTCCATGGTTACCCAGTTCACATGTATACGAGCATCCTGAACGTGTCATATTAAACTTCTTTTTACTTACATGCCTTTTCACTAGTAATCAGCAGTTATTCCTTAGCGTTTCCTAGCTATGATCAAACCGAGTCCTTAGCTTTCACGATGCCCTCGATGATAATGTCGCTGCCCTCGCATTCCACGATCGAATCCACCAGAATCACGATAGAAGAGACGCGGGTGTTATCATAAAATTATTATTTTCTTTCGGATAATTCTGAAGCGAAAATGCCGATTTCAAGTTCTGTTCTTCGTTGTTTCCACGTCCACTGAGAGTCACGCAGCGATTACGCAAAATATTTTTGATGCACGCGCGAACAACGAGAGGAAACTGTGAGAAACGGTGTTGGCGTTCGATTTCTCTCTCCCTCTCTGCTGCTCGTCGCCTCATTCTCAACCCCCGATCAGAGTAGTGCATGCGCGTGGGCGGCGTCGGGGTTGCTGACGCCACCGTTCGAGGTAAACGAGAGTTTGTTTTCAAGTAGCTCGATATCGGACAGGACAAACTTCTTCGTTCACGCATTTTACTGTCAGTAGTACTGAAAGGTAGGACAAACTGTGTATTAACACAGTTTTACGTCAATCGTGTAAAAGTACACCTACATACAATTAGAAACCTCCTAACTCGTGAATGGGAGAATTATTGTTAACCACAGTTCTGATTGGGGGAATAGGAACTAATAACTTTTACAAACAGGGTGTTTACAAATAAAATAATACCTGCAAAATGTGGGTACGTATTTATATTCGTGCCAATCGTGTTTGAAATCGTATAGCATTATAGAGTTTCCGTATTAAATCTTATAGAAACACACAAGATTATAAATATATAAGGTATGTATGTACGTATGCATGTAGTGGCGAAATGTTGAGTGCCGTGAGAGTTATGGGGAGTACAGCAGAGCGAAGTACACCGGACAACCTATAGTGGTGCTTCGTACTAAAGCTGCAATATGGCCGCGATCAAGTTGTCTCATGCGGTTTCACGGAGTCTCGTGTTCATAATATCTATACATATCACTGGTCGAATATCGTGCATGACCGCGATAACTTGTGGCTGCAACCTGTAACACGGCCTCTCGTCTTCAACCAGAGAGGAAATAAGAGTTGCTCTGAGTTAATAAGTTAATAAGTTAATAAGTTAATAAGTTAATGAGTTAATAAGAGTTCGCTATGAGTTGCTCACGCTCATTGTTCTGGTTGTTTCCCGACTAGTACTGCCCCTCATCTGCCAAATGCTGGAAGCAACTTTACGCTAACATATCCAAGAACCTATTTAATTTCATCGTTGACTAATAAATACTCGTCTGTGGTTTCACGCTGCAAGAACCTATATGTAATTGTACGGTCCTACAGAAAAGTTCATACGTGCTTTTCTATCCGAGATAGGCAAGTATAAAAGTAACAAAATCGCCCAATAATCAAACTACGTTGCCTTAAAAGGAGAAATTAATTGTATACTATATTTACTTTTAGAGAAGAAACGAAACGGCCCTTTCGAAACGTCCTTTCGAACGGTAATGAATCAAGAGAGTGATGCAATAATTTTAATATATTCTCAATACATAAAAGCTTTTCTTAGGTTTAATATGAAATTTAATTTCTTCGCGATTATGTTTTAGTTATAAAAAACCTAGATTTCATTTTAATAGTAGTTTTACTAGTTGACGGACAGTAAATAATATTTCTGACGCGACGTATCTGTTTTACATGCCCGTCCGTTTACAGTAATGATAAAACTAGAAGAACAAATTGACCGTAGATAAGAATCGACGTAACGATAGATTTCTGATCCACAACATTTATCCATCTTACTTTCATCACTGACCTAATGACGTAAAATTTATTAATTCTATGAATTTTGATCCAAAATTTAAAATTGATAAGATTATACATATCAAGATTGGTAACCTATCACAGAGGTGCTTAATTGATTGTCCACGAGCAACACCTGTCCTTCCGAGGTGTTCCCGAGGTATCCAGCGACTGTCTTTTTGTTTATATATCGAACATTAAAGCAACGGCACGAGACAAAAAAAGACAAAAAAAGAAAAAAAAAGAAAAGGACATTGTGCTAGTGCATTATTGTGTATCGCGTTCCTATCCGTCTATATTGCCTTTGTTACGTAAACGCCTAATGTTATGTCCTAGAAGCTAGGATCCGCTTACAATAGAGTGTGTTTGTATCGTTAAATGACTCCTAGTAGTGTAAATTTTAAGAATGTTATATATCGTCGTAGTTCCTTTCATATTACTTAGAATTATTGGAAATCACGTTATTGGCCTCATTTTGTTGCTTGGATACAAGTTAACAGGTGCAACATATTTACGATAACTCCTATCCATAGGTTGTTGGTGAAGCATACCTGACTAAATCTTTCAACCATTTTTGGGAATTTCCGTGAGCCTAAATCTTGACATTTCGTTGATCGAGGATGGTTGCTTTCGTCTGTAACAAAACAAACGTTGCCAAAAGCGTGGTTAGTGTTGCAATATATTTAGCATTCAGCGGGAAAGATTTCATCAAGCAGCATAGTCATTTGGTTGGAGTGCTTGAGAGTGGCAAATTTTATTATTATTTTTCGCATTGTCATACGATTGATTGGCACTTGACAAGCTATTCTGCAGAACCACATTAGTGAAAAAGTGCTCGGTGATGTGATCGGACGCGTTACAATATTAATTCTTCATTATCAAATTGTTGATATAATCGTTGAAAATCACGTTACCTAGGAATCATCTCTGTAGTGGTCTTCCATTATTCCCCACTGGATTCCAACATATTTCACGAGCTTATTTGTAGCTCCCTGCTGTTTCGTCATTAACGCGCTATTTATAATACTTTCTCAATGTAAACCCATTGTAAACTTTAGTCATGTGAACAGTCGGTTTAGTAATTATCAAAACTTTGACATCACTTTTCAGGAGAACGGTTGAGTTGCAGTCCATGGTTCATGTTACAAAGTTGGTTTTCGCGACGAGTAGAATATATGAGGCAAGCAAGAATGTCTGACCTTTTGACCTTGACTTTCAAGGACAATTTTGACAAGACCTTTTCTTTAGTCAAACATTCACCGAATCGAAAATATAGAATCACGCTGTGATGATCATTACCAACAATATTTATATACCCTGTACAAATAAGCTAATAAATTTCGCGTTGACCTTACCAAGCTGACAATGTCGATTCCGACAAATATTTAAATCCTGTAACGATGCATTGTTACGTGACAATTCATTGTGATCCTCGCATATGGTATTGTTCTTATACCTTAACTCCTTTTGTTTGCGTTCACAACATAGGGTATTATATTTATCGATATATTTCAGATTGTATAATAGCTAAATTCTATTACAAAATTTTTACGTACTTATCTGATTTAATTGGAAATATTACATCGTTTAAACAATGGATTTTCTTTTTACTATCACAAACACACAGTGCAAATTTATATTAGGCTCAAACAGTTGTGCTTTAAGATGATTTGGCATGGAATATATCAAATTTATCGAACCATAGACGAAACTATAATAAAATTCTATCGTGTATTTTTCTAATTTCATCCTATATCATTACAGACTTTTGTTTTAATAGAATCAATCTAGTTATGATATATGTAATTATAAAAATTAATTCGTTTCTCTCCTATTCAATTACCTCGGCCGTAAGGAGAACGAAGATCGGGATTAAAACAACACTTTGCCTTGACAGTTTCGGCAGAGTACTCTGAAATGGCCATACTCCTACGAATGACAAAAGACGCTTGTTCAATCGAAAGGCAGGCTGCTCGAAGAAATCCATGCCGATTATCATCGCATTTCATTCATTGCTTCGACTTACATACAGCGTGTGTCGTAGACTAGTGTAAAAACGAATCAATAAAACTTGCACGAAGGCAATTGACGATAATTTGCTTGTTAAATTATTAACGGACCAGTTAATTATTTAAATAGCCGAAACAGTTCATCGTTCCGTATTCATTAAATGCGAGAGACAAGATTTTCACGTCTACCTATCCCACAAGGTTCCCTCCAGTTTCTATTCCTTTCATGTCAGATATATTCGCAAAATGATAGGTAATTAAAGAAGATTGTTGTTTCATCGTCCCTTCTTTCTTTCTTTTCGTCATTATACGCAGAACGTTGTACTTAATAAGCGAAACGACCTACTGCTATCATATTAAATGAGTCGCTGAAACCAACCTATAGGAAAATGATTGCCTGCAGTAGAACGATTTTCATTTTAGAATGAAATAAACCCTTCGTGCGGACGGTGTCTTTAATCTTCTTGATGTGTAAAGCTAACAGTGTGACGTGTGAATTAATTTTATTTTTATGCGATTTTTTGATTGGAATATATAGCGGAATATATGGAATATATATATAATTCATATAATATACTTTCTTCTTTTCTCTTTACATCACAATAAACGTTGTGCAATTGTAATTATATGATAAACAAGGAGAGAGTTTATTGCAGGTCATCTAATTGAGATTGTTCTCTTTGAAGTACAGTAATTCCCGAATAAGTGATCATAAAACCAGTTTGCTAATGATCATTTAACTAAGTTAAGATACGTGGATCTTGCACGATCGATGAATGATAGTTCAAAGAGATAATTTCAAGCGTTTAGTGAATTATTTATACTCGTATGTTAATGAGAATTTACACGTTTTATAGAAGAATGTAATAATTTGGCATGGAATAGAATTTTGTAACTTTTCTCGAGTAATCAAACACTTTTATTTACATATTTTTGTAATTTTATATCGTATATATTGATCTTTCCAGATTAGAGGACTGTCCAATGCATGGAGTGTCAACTACGGTTTAGCCATCGAATGCATGCCACCGATCATAGCACTCTTCCTTTCTATGTCGATGTATCTCAACGCAATTTTTAACACAAAGAAGGTACTACATGCATTTATTTCGCTTAACAAAGTAATATTTATTAAGGATTGAGCGCGATTTGTTAATTTAATTAACGGGTTCTATTTGAATCGTTGCATAGGGAATAATTTTCACAAGATGAAAGCAACTTGTTTATCGTTGTAATTAAAATTTACACACGACGATGAAAACACGAAGAAAACTTTCGAAAATATATTTGCGAATTCCTACATTCTAGAGAATGTAGAAGAAACTTTTCTTTCTTAATTTCCATTAAATGATGTTTCTCCTATTCTTCTTTCAACAGATGAGGGATGTACTCTTATTCATTAAAAATAACCATAATTACTATGCGAATCGTCCAGAAAAGCTGATTCTTCGATATTATGACGTACAAGGAAGAAAAATTACACTTTATTATGCTTGTAAGTGTCTGAGATCTCGAACTTTCTTCAGAGTTATTTAAAATGGTAACAAATTTT